ACTGCTACTGCTACCACCGCTACTGCCAGTACTACCCATACTAGCACGACCACGACCACCGCCGCCGCCGCCGAACTACCACAGCCGCCGCCGCTGCCGCCGCCGAACCACCACCACCACAACCACCGCCACCATTACCACCACCGCCACCACCACCACCACCACCACCACCACCAGCAGCACCAGCACCACCACCACCACCACCACCACAACCACCAACACCATCACCGGCAGCATTCTACGACTACGACTACCACTACCACTATTACTGCCACTATCACTACCACCACTACCACCGCCAGCGCCACCACAACAACGACGACCACGACGACTACTTGCTGCTGCTGCCACCACCACCACCACGACGACTACTACTACTAATACTGCTGCTTGACTGCTTGAAACTAAGGCTCTTGGAGCCGGAAGGGCAACAGCCAGGCCGGCAAAAGGTGGAGCTAGCTTTCCGCAACTCGGAGCGGTGCAGTGAGGGGGGGGGCATCGTATTTGATGTTTTCTCTCTTGTTCAAGAGACCGTAAGGCAAAGCAAGGGCAACTGCGTCCTGCTTCTCAGCAGACCAGCTTATGATGGCGCCGTGGTTGAGCTTGATGAACCAAAGCAGGGTTCCTCTGTAGTGATCTGGATAGACGAGGTTCTGGTGTCAGTACTGTCAACCTGGGGTCGCCCCGAACGCTCGTATGGTCAACCTAGATGTGCTATGTGGCCAACACGCCGCAAATCCAGCTAATCATGGGAACGTGCATACTTTCTGACCCCATTCATCCAACCGCATTCGTGCGACGACAGCGTTTCTGGGCTGGGTTTTAAAGTTTGAGACAGCGACTCGCTTCGCAGACTTGTCGTGTATCCATGCTCACTGTAAAGCAACCAACGGGGGGGAGCGGCGCTGCTCTGCATCCGTGTGGCGAGAGTGCCGGATGCGCCACCTCCAGCTCAAGCAGTGGAGTGTCTTCAGAGTGTCGAAGTCTTGCCCTACTTGATGTACCGCAGATGGATAATGATCCTGGGCATTCTGTGGCATGCTTTTGATTCTTGCGCTGTAGGGTTGTGATGGAAGGAGGAGGTAGGCGAAAAGCTCCGAGAAGGCAGAGGAGGCCCTTGTCGGCCGGCTGGACACTCTTATGCCAAGTTTGCGGGCTTTTTCCAATCTTGCTTCTTGATCGGGGACTAAGTGTCATGATTCAAAGAACGAAACAATGTAGTATGAGTGTGCTGCGCATGTATGGCCAGCACAGGTTTGTTGGTTTCAGGAGAAGGCAACTTTCCTTGCCAATGTAAAAGATTTTTTCGGCGGCGAGCAACAGACCTTTCTCGGGGGAGTTCGCTTCTGGGCGCGGAACCAGTGTTTGCAACAAAGTAATTGAGAGAAACCAACAAACTCCCGCAGTCGCCTAAGCCTATGTCTCCTAGTCCTAGTTCACGCAAGCTCTGACCGGTGAAAGTTTTCTCCGGCCGAATCAAACTAATTATGGGCAGTGCCTAAAAATGGCTACGGCTCAAGCGTTTTGGCTCACAGGAAAGTAAGGAAGAGTTGCTCACCCCGGAGGGTCTTTTGCCCCTATGACGACTAGCGGTGAGGGTGGTGTTCCTGACGTACGTCCTAAGAATGTGCAGATTAGCTTCGGCACTTGGGGGCCTCCTCATTTAATGGAGAGGAAGAAGCCACCTCCCGCTCCCGCTGCCCCAACGGAACAGGTGATGCTCCCCAGTGTTGGTGCTGCACCCAGTGTTGCTTCACCCGTTCCCCGTCATGCTTCACTAGCAGTACATGATGATGGTGGTGTAAGGGACTCGAATAGGAATGAAGATAGAAGCACGGTGCCCCAACAGGTTGCTTCGCACCAAACCGTCCTTGAGATGAGTTCTAGGGGAAGAGCTGAAAAGAAGGACCTGACCTGTCGTGACCATGGCAGTTTTCAGGAGCGAGAGCGTAGTCGTAGATCTGAAAGGGCCCCACGTAGGAGCGATGCCAGGGATGCAGGGAGTAGTGAATGCGAACTTAAGAAGCCCAAGCTTGAACATGAAGCACCAGGGGCTACTGATGACCCGATGGGGACAGGAGTCGTTACTGCCCCGGAAGACACACATGCCGGACGTATGAATAAGGACTTGGGAAGTGTGACAGGAGCTCCTGTCTTTGATCTCACACAGCAAGATGATGACGATGAGCTCGCCTCGTCGGAAGCTCCTGAGAACCAAGTGAACCAAGGGGGTGAACCGAGCCCAAAACCACCCATGAATGGTGGCATTGGCACTCCCATTGACAAACCTGATGTATTTATCGGAGCTCCGACGCCCTACCCCGGTGCTCCCTGTACTCCTTTCCATGAACTTGTGAATAGGAATCAGGGATCCCCTCCGCCTCCTTGGATTAGTGAGTTGCTTGGTTCCATGGCCACGCTTCATTCCAAGCAAGACAGAACCCACGAAGATGTCCTGGCATTTGGGACCGAAATCCAAGGACACGCATTGAGGCTTGATACTCTAGAAATGGGAATGAAAGAACACACTGACAAGCACACCAAAACTTTCAGCCGCATTGAAGCTTTGGAAAAACAGGTTCGAGAACTGCAATCCAGTAGGACTTCACGCTCA